GGTTTTGATGGTTGGAATGTGTTTAGAAGGGGCAGAAAGGATGAGCTGTGCAGAAAAAGCTACTCCAGGAAGGCTTTTTCAAAATTCCATTATTTTGAATGGCCTTTACTCCTGTATTAGGGTTAGGGGTGTGCACCAGGGTAGGCCTTGGGTGGTGGTGGCGAATGTTCGGCAGATGTTCTACTTCTGGCACACAGAGCCCTCTTAGCGCATGAGGCACGTCACACCTGCAGCCCCCCCAGCTGCCGAGCTTCGGGTAACAGCGCACATACAGGCTCTGCACCTTCTCGGAAAGGATCCAGTGTGCCAGGCGATCTATTTAATAGCCGCCACTCGTCCAAGCTGCATGCTTTCGCTCGTCTGGTCGGTTCGTTGCCACAAATATATATATAATTGCTGGAACTGGCTGTGAATTGATTTTTCTAAACTACAGCCTAAATTTTCAGGTTTACGTTTAGTGTTGGCACTTTGCAATAAATAAGTCGGTTTAGGGTTGCAGTTTGGGCACTCGCTCTCTCAGTGCTTTGCTATCAGTGCTCTAGACTAAAAGTGCCAGAAATTTAGTGACCTTTCCTCATGTGGTCGTCGCTCCAGCCCCTTGGTCAGCCTAGTTGCTTTTCACCAGCTCAAATGCACTTTTTGAGCTCCAGTAACCAGAATGTCCGCCGCACTTCAGCTCCGTGCTGCAGGTCTGGGCCAAGCCCCTGGGAGCAAGGGACGCTTCCGTGGGCTGGCCGTGCCCGTTCCTCTAGCCAAGCACTGCTGGAACGGATGGCCATGCGGCCCCCTGGGACAGCCTGGGACGGCTTGTGTTCAGAGCCAGGGCTGCACCAGGGCACCGCCCCCGCACCATGGGATCTCGGAGCTGGAAGCAGCGGAGGGCCCTCCTTCGGAGCCCCCCCCCACTCAGGGCAGGCCCCCCAGTGAAACCATCCCTCTTAGCTGGTTCTTCACTGGCTTCTTGAATGCCTCAAGTGTCGGAGAGTCCACAACCTCTCTCACTCCATTATCGGACTTCTCCAGTGGTCAGGAAAAAATTCCCGTTAAGTCGCTGGAAACTGGCTTCCCACTTGGCTGGCGTAGAGCAGGGTCCTGGAGGAAAAGGGGGCTCTTGGTGGCCGTGGCTGCCAGCTGCCGGCATGTGCTTGGGGCCTTTCGGTGGGGAGCAGCAGCAAGGAACGGCGAGCATGGGGGGCCTGGGGAGGCCTTTGGTCGCTCCCGTGGCCCTTTGGTCCCCCGAGATCGTGCCAGTACTGTGCAGGGAACTGCCGCTTCTCCTGGGCTACGTGGGGCCCGCAAGCCCAGGGGTGGCAGGGAGGCAGGGCACGGGCCGCCTTGGGCAGGGCGACGGCTCTGGCTTCTTCGCTGGTTCATCTCCAGATCATGAGCAGCCATGACCATCCGGTGGTCTCCTGGCTGCCCCAGCAGTCCAGGTGGGGCACAGGCCCGTTGAGTCTTGGGGGCAGGGCAAGTGAAGTGCCCGCCTGGGCCCACAAGGCCTTCTTGCTTGGACAGCTCGCAAGCTGCAGCAGAAGCGTGCCCAGCTGCTGGAGGAGGAAGATGAGGAGGCGGAGGACGAGGAGGTGGAGGCCAGAAGGCACCCCCTGTGCGCCAGCGCCCCGTCCAGCATCTTCATTGAGGGAGTCGAGTACAAAGTTGAGAAGCTGGACAGTAGGAGGCCGCCGTCCCCAACCGCGTCCTGGTGAGCCGCGTCACGTGCCTCGCAGGAAGGGCCCCGCTCCTGCCAGCCGGCCTTGCTGCCGCGTCGGCCACCAGCCCATGCCAGTGCAGGCCCCTGCCCCAGCAGCACCACTGCTTGTGTTGGGACCGGGACCGGTCTTGCCCCGCATGCAGGCAAGCCTCCCACCGGTGCCCACCGGGCACCCTCAGTGCCAGGGGAGTCTAGGGTTGTGGCCCGGCGTCCCTGGGACGGGGGGTTCAGGGGGAATTAGAATCCCCACCCCCGGGGGTGGATGCTTCCGTGTAACTTGGGTTGGTACCTCTCATTTCTAAATGCTGTTCTGGCAAATATGGAGGAGTAGAAGGTGGCGGCGGTGGTGGCCAAAATTGCAGGGGTGGGGACTTGAGGAGCAGAATCCCACCTTGATCCAGGGGCCTCAGCCAGCGTGGTGCTTGAGCCCCCTTCTGCAGCCCCAGCCAGGCCTGCTCCTGCCCGGTGCTTCTGAGTGGGCTGGGCGCAGAGGCGGAGGCCCGGCGACCCTCGCCCGGCCTCCAAGGAGGGGCGTCCCCTGCCCGGCCAGGCCTGCCAGAGGCCCTTCGGCCGCGCTGAGCCGCCCCCTTTGCCTTGCCAGGTTCCCGGAGCCCGACAGGCAGAGCGGCTCCCAGCGGAACTCCCTGGAGGAGGCCCTGCGGGCGGAGCAGCGGCCCAGCTCTGCGGCTGGGTAAGGGGGGGAGGCAGCGGGCGCTGGTGCGGGTGCGGGTGGGGGCAGCCAGCCTGAATGCCCCCTTTCTGCACAGGGTGAACCCAGCCCTCCCCAGAGGTGGGGACGTGGCTGTGCCGGTCCGGACAGCAAAGGCAGAGCGGCGGCACCAG